CATTAAATACACTCAAGACTGTCTACTTTTCCAAAAAGGGGGTCATTTGGGGGGTATTTTGTATTTATCCTGCTATTTTAGGGCCTGTAAGAAACTATATAGGTAGTCAGTACATCAGGATTGATAAATTTTCAAATATATCAATATATATACCGTGGTTGTGTGGACTCTATAACTTTAATACAGACTAAATAATCACACTGATTTGGGTTTATTATTTCTACCAAACAAAGGTAGCCACAATGGATTTTGGCCTAATGTAATTAATGAAGAAGAAGTATATTTTATTTGCAAAATCTAGTAACAAAAACGAAAGAAAAACATGTTTTATTTCAAAATTTTCAGTCTTTTTCCACTTTTCTAGAAAAAAAAATAAAAACCCCCAGTTGGTGATTAAATACCACCAAATGAAAGCTCTATTTGTGTGTGAAAAACAAATGATTAAAAATTTCCATTTGGATACAGTGTCGTATGCCTGAGTAACTGGCATTCACAATGTGAGAGCAATGTAAAGCTGAAAATTAGCCTGGTCAGGAAGGGGGTAAAAGTGTCCGGTCTGGAAGTGGTTAAATGATCAGGAACCCTTTGCAGGGTGTTATGGCTTAATTAGCTGATTAGAGTGGGACAGCCTAGAATGATTACACCTTTTCACAATATTCTAAATTTTCTGAGATTGTGGATTTGGGGTTTTCATGAGCTGTAAGCCCCAATAATCATCACCATTATGACAAATCACAGCTTGAATCTATCTTGCTTTTGCATGTTAATGAGTCTATCTATTCATATATTAGTTTCACCTTTTAAGTTACATCACTGAAACTAAATGAACTTTTGCACGATATTCTATTTTTTCTAGTTTACCTGTATCTTATGCAGGCCAATAGATGGGGAGAGAAAAACTGCAGATTTTTCTTTTAAAAAACGAAAAATCGGTTGTTCAAGTGGCCGACGCTTCACCATCAATTGGTAAAAAAAATCGGATACCCGATTTTCTTACCCGTCTAGAGCCGGCAAAAAAGTGTCCATGCAGAGGAGCTTGCTATTTCTTTGACAGTTCTCTGACAGTTCCGTGGACCATTTATAGAGAAGTTTTGCAAACAATGTATTCTACTTTGTTTCCATTTAGGGATTACAGATGTTGTTTTTATTCGGAAACAAATAGATACAATGTTTCAACCGCTGTAAAATGTCATAGGAACTGTCAGATGAATAGCGGAGCTCTCTGCAGAGAGACACTTTTTGCTTGGATGGAATTCTTCTTATTTTCATCTACTTCTTCTTCTTCTTCTTCTTCTTCTTCATCGCCTCATCCTTCTTCTATTCTTCTTCTTCCATCCTCATCCTCTTCTTCTTCTGCATCCTCATCCTATTCTTCTTCATCATCATCATTCCTCATCCTCTTCTTCTTCTCCTCATCCTCATCCTCTTCTTCTTCTTCTTCATCCTCATCCTCCTCTTCTTCTTCTTCTTCTTCTTCATCCTCATCCTCTTCTTCAATCCTCATCCTCTTCTTCTTCATCATCATCATCCTCATCTCTCTTCTTCTTCTTCTTTCTTCTTCTTCTTCTTCATCCTCATCCTCTTCTTCATCTTCTTCTTCTTCATCCTCATCCTCTTCTTCTTCCTCATCCTCTTCTTCTTCATCATCCTCATCCTCTTTTCTTCATCCTCATCCTCTTCTTCTTCTTATTCATCATCCTCTTCTTCTTCATCCTCATCTCCTCTTCTTCTTCATCCTCTTCTTCTTCCTCTTCTTCTTCTTCATCCTCTTCTTCATCGTCTTCCTCTTCTTCTTTTTCTTCTTTTTGTCTTCCTCTTGCAGGTCACTGCTCATGCGCAGATTTTTTTATCGGTAAAAAATCGGCCGATTTGCCCACTAATTGCCGCGAAAATCGGCCGATCGGCAAAATCGGCCGATTTTTTTCCAACTTTAAAAAAAAAAAAACGGCCAAAATACCGAAAAACGGTCCGACCAAATCGCCCACTAACGATCCGAAAATCGGCCGATTTTATTTTCGCCCGAAAAATCGGCCGATTTTCGACCCATCTATGGCCTGCATTAGTTCTAATTCTGGCAGAATTCCAGTGCTCCACCCCTGTCTTGCTTCAGTTGTGGACAGGTCCTCACCTTTCCTCATATAAAAAATGCAGTCCTGCATTGTACGTGATAACGTCAGAGTACCAATGTCAGCCTGAACACCACAGAGGCTTTGGGGGTAGCACAGAATGGTGATAGCCTGCTAGAGTGAGTAAAAAGGTAAACATCAGTTATTCCCCTACACATAGACTTAACAAGCATGTAATTCTTATGTGGAACAATTTTTAAGACTCTTGTATAGATTTCATAACACTATGTTAGATCGTTATAAATATCTGGAGTATTAATATGGTATTCAACCACCTTAGACTTGGAATCTACTTGTGTGCAAATAAAATGTCCCTATGCATTGTGAAAAAGTTGAACATGTGAAAATTGTTATTGGCTGGGCTTGTTCTGATATTTTCTTGTTTTATATTTATAGGCTTTCAACAACAAACACTAAGAACAAGGAGCATACCAGTATGCCAGAAGGCTGCAGGTGCCCCTTATTTGCTGTATTCTGATTGTTGGAACATTTGGATGTTTGTTCCTTTGCAGTGCACAACCTGCAGGGAAATCTTGAACGCATTTATGTATATTCCCAGCCAATTATGGTGAGTCTGGGGAAAGTTTTCCAGCCGCTCCCAGCCCATGCACTCTTTTTTGGAATAATGCATTTAAAATGTCACATGACCTCAAAATAAATAAAACTATAAGTGGAAAGCCCCAGAGGTAGTTAGAGAAAGTACCGTATTTTTCGCTCCATAAGACGCACCTGACCATAAGACGCACCTAGGTTTTTGAGGCGAAAAAAACAAGAAAAAAAAATATTCTGAACCAATGGACTGCAGACACAGTACAGGGGATGACCAGAGACTGCGGACACAGTACAGGAGATGACCAGAGACTGCGGACACAGTGCAGGAGATGACCAGAGACTGCGGACATAGTACAGGAGATGACAGAGACTGCGGACACAGTACAGGAGATGACCAGAGACTGCGGACACAGTACAGGAGATGACCAGAGACTGCGGACACAGTACAGGAGATGACCAGAGACTGCGGACACAGTACAGGAGATGACCAGAGACTGCGGAACACAGTACAGGAGATGACCAGAGACTGCGGACACAGTACAGGAGATGACCAGAGACTGCGGACACAATACAGGAGATGACCAGAGACTGCGGACACAAGTACAGGAGATGACCAGAGACTGCAGTACAGGAGAGGGACGAGGGACTGCGGAACAATACAGGAGATGACCAGAGACTGCGGACACAGTACAGGAGATGACCAGAGACTGCGGACACAGTACAGGAGATGACCAGAGACTGCGGGACACAGTACAGGAGATGACAGAGACTGCGGACACAGTACAGGAGATGACCAGAGACTGCGGACACAGTACAGGAGATGATCAGAGACTGCGGACACAGTACAGGAGATGACCAGAGACTGCGGACACAGTACAGGGAATGACCAGAGTGTAGACAGTGCAGGGAATGACCAGAGACTGTGGACATGCAGTACAGGAGACTGTGGACATAGTACAGGATGACCAGAGACTGCAGACAGTGCAGGGAATGACCAGAGACTGTAGACAGTGCAGGAGATGACCAGAGACTGCAGACAGTGCAGGGAATGACCAGAGACTGTAGACAGTGCAGGGAATGACCAGAGACTGCGGACCTTTGGGGAGGGAGGGGGAGCGGGTACCTGAATTTGACAGGTACCCGCTCCCACTTCCGCGGAGTTGTCCTTCCCTCTTCTTCCAGGGCCGGCTTCTGTGACAGCCGGGTGCCCACGGCGCTATAGCGAGATAATGCGCGAGAAGCGCTGCGCTTTGTGAATGGGCCGGGCGCCTTCTGAGACCTGTCATGTCTCCCAGAAGACACCGGATCATTCACAAAGCGCAGCACATGCGCAGTGGGCACCCAGCTGTTACAGAAGCCAGTGCGGGAAGACTGTGCAGCACTGGAGCGAGGAACAGGTAACGCCCTGCAGGAGAGAACAGCTGAGCGGCCGGCCCGGTATTCTGACATGGTGGCGGCAGAAATACCGGACCGGCCGCTTTATATTCGCTCCATAAGACGCACTGACATTTTCCCCCCTTTTTGGTGGGGAAAAAAGTGCGTCTTATGGAGCGAAAAATACGGTACGTAAACAAACAAAATCATAAAGAGCAAGGAGCTAATAAAAAAATCTGGGATAAAGTTCAGGTGCAGCACCAATAAGAAAACTTACAAAAAGATACCATATCGGAACTTTGACAATTGCCCTTCTTGTAGATACAGCAAACAAAGATAAAAAAAGACAAGTCTGATGAGACCGACATTTTACTTTTTTGGCTTTAGTACTAAACCCTGTCTTGGGAAAAAAAAATGTTGCATTTTATTACTTCCTTGGAAGGTCAATGGTATCTCTACAACAAGTAAGTGTCACTTTGCCAGATGACCAGCAAGACATACTGTAGAGCAGTGGTTCTCAACCTTTCTAACGCCGCGACCCTTAATACAGTTCCTCATGTTGTGGTGACCCCCAACCATAAAATTATTTTCGTTGCTACTTCATAACTGTAATTTTGCAGTAGGAGGAATAGTGCCCCGTCATTGGTATCAGTGGGAAGAATAGTGCCCCGTCATTGGTGTCAGTGGGAGGAATAGTGCCCCATCATTGGTGTCAGTGGGAGGAATAGTTACCCCATCATTGGTGTCAGTGGGAGGAATAGTACCCCATCATTGTGTCAGTGGGAGGAATAGTGCCCCATCATTGGTATCAGTGGGAGGAATAGTGCCCCATCATTGGTATCAGTGGGGGGGAATAGTGTCCCATCATTGGTATCAGTGGGAGGAATAGTGCCCCATCATTGGTGTCAGTGGGAGGAATAGTGCCCCATCATTGGTATAAGTGGGAGGAGGAATAGTGCCCCATCCTTGGTGTCAGTGGGGGGGAGGAATACTGCCCCCCATCCTTTGTGTCAGTGGGGGGAGGAATAGTGCCCCATCCTTGGTGTCTTAGTGCCCCATCCTTGGTGTCAGGGGGGGAGGAATAGTGCCCCATCCTTGGTGTCAGTGGGGGGAGGAATAGTGCCCCATCCTTGGTGTCAGTGGGGGGAGGAATACTGCCCCATCCTTGGTGTCAGTGGGGGGAGGAATACTGCCCCATCCTTGGTGTCAGTGGGGGGAGGAATTGTGCCCCATCCTTGGTGTCAATGGGGGAGGAATTGTGCCCCATCGTTGGTGTCAGTGGGGGGAGGAATCGTGCCCCATCGTTGGTGTCATTTGGGGGAGGAATCGTGCCTCATCGTTGGTGTCAGTGGGGGGGAATAGTGTCCCATCGTTGGTGTCAGTGGAGGAATAGTGTCCCATTGTTGGTGTCAGTGGGAGGAATAGTGCCCCATCATTGGTGTCAGTGGGAGGAATAGTGTCCCATCGTTGGTGTCAGTGGGAGGAATAGTGCCCCATCATTGGTGTCAGTGGGAGGAATAGTGTCCCATCGTTGGTGTCAGTGGGAGGAATAGTGCCCCATCATTGGTATTAGTGACACCAATGATGGGGCACTATTCCCACTGACACCAATGATACTTACCTTGCAGACCCCTGCTCCAGCCTGGGCTCGCTCGCTCCCTCCCTCTCCCATGGTACCAACACTTACCTGTCAGATGTCTTCCTTCTCCGGCCGCTCTCCTCCTCTTCACTCGCTCGATCTTCGCGGTGCCGCTCGGCTCCTCCTCTCCAAGCTCCACCTCTTTGCCGGTGATTGGCCGCCTGTGTGCCTCTCCTGAGCTACAGTGCCGGCGGCCAATCACAGGCGAGGATTGATCTCGAGGTGTGTCCAGATGACAGGGGCGGCAATGTCACCCCGCCCACACCTGGAGACGGGCGGTGGCGGCGACCAATAGGTGGCGGCGGTGGACTGCGTCCCGGTAGGCGGCGGCGGCGTCTCGGTTCCTAAGACCATCGGAAATATGTGTTTTCCGATGGTCTTAGGCGACCCCTGTGGAAGCGTCGTTCGACCCCCAAAGGGGTCGCGACACCCCCAGGTTCAGAACCGCTGCTGTAGAGTCTATGCTACCTTGGAGTCTGGGCCTCTTTGGTTGAGGGTCTGCTGCTCTCTCTGCTTTGACAGGAATGCACAGATAAGCTACCCTTTAGTCATGGAATTAAAAAGTCTGAAGAAAAAACAATTAAAAAAAGGAACATGAAGAACTCCATTATGAGCCATCTAGATACCACATATACAGCACTAGTTTATCTCAACAAACATAAAGGGGCTGTTTTATTAAAACTGGAGAGTGCAAAATCCGATGCAGCGGTGCCTGGTAACCAATCAGTTTAACTTTAGCTTGTTCAGTTAAGCTTTGACAATAAAATATGGAAGCTAATTGGTTTCTATGTTGAGTTGCAACAAATTTTTGCACTCTCCAGCTTTAGTAAATCAACCCTCACGTGTCCATGCTTAGATAAAGTGTCCAAACTTTATAAAGTGTCCATGCATAAATAAAGTCTCCAGGTAATTACATAAGTGCTCAGTACCCTGCAATTTCTCTCCAAAAGCATTAATCCATCCCTGAAGCATATGCATGATTCTCCACCTTCACTATAGAAAACTCAGCATATCACCATAAGCACTTAAATCAGGTAAGTCATTCAGGCAGCATTCACACCTAAATTTTTATGTGAGCTTTTTTTTTTTACAAGTGTATAGAAGTGTTTTACATGTGTATTCAACCTTCAGGCTTTTTTTGTTATAGCCAATGTAAATTAAAGAGGAGGAGATCAGTTAATATAGGCTGAAAAACGCCTTTAAAAAAATAAAAAACAAAATGCATTAATTAAGCATTTTTAGGGTTCCCATTGAAACACTAAATTCTGCCTGAAAAGTAGCTCATGTACTTTTCAGAGCGTTAGGCATTCAGCTTCAAGAGACAGGATGCTCAGATATGAACAAGGGCTATTAAATACAATGGGTTTTTGCTGGTTGAGCATTTTGAGCTTTGAGAACAGGCTACAACATGCTCAGGTGTGAATGGGGCCAAAGAGCTCATATTCCCCAATAGATAGTTCTTTCCAAGGCCACTCTCAAAACAGGGTCATCTCCACTACTTCCATCAACATCTCTCCATTTGTGTAAGAGGTTCCCCAAAGAAAGCAGAAAAGCCTCTATAGTGTAAAACCATTTATCTTTATTTAACCACTTTACAAGCTGCGCTATAGCTGAAAGATGGTTACAGCACGGTTGTCCAGTTCTGGGATGCCTCATATGATGTTCTCCCAGAATGTGCCCCCCGTACACCCCCAGCTGTGCGCACCAGGCGCTGTCAGTAATCGCTGTGTCCTACGGACAAAGCTGATCACATGACTAGGTAAAAGGCCAATCACAATGGCCTTTTACCACGTGATCAGCTGTGTCCAATGACACAACAGATCACAAAGTAATACAGTTGTCGGTTATTGGTAACACTTTCTTCATGCTGTCACAGCGTGAGGAAAGTACTTTCGATAACCGACAAATGTTACAGATCAGCAGACCTGATCACCAGTGTCCAGAAGTGCCACCCACCGGTGCCACCCCCCCCCCACCCCCCCCCCAGTGCCCGGCAGTGCCACCAATCAGTGGCCAGCAGTGCCACCCAGAAGTTGCACCCATCAGTGTCCATCAGTGCCGCTCATCAGTGCCAACAGTCAGTGCTGTCAGTGCCGCAAATCAGTACTGCCCATCAGTGCCACCCATCAGTGCCGCCTATCAGTGTCCATCTGTGCCGCCTAGTAATAACTATCATTGCTGCTTATTATTATTATTATACAGTATTTATAAAGCGCCACTAGTTCGCTCAACGCTGTACATTACAAAGGGGACAGAACATGTGACAGAACAATACCAATACAATGCAAAACATGAGGGGATTGAGGGCCCTGCTCTTTCGAGCTTACAATCTAGGAGGGAGGGGATAGTGGTACAGGAGGAGATAGCTGTGGGGGATGGAGTGGTAGGAAGAGTGGAGGAGGTCGGTTAAGTTAGCAGGGGTAGGGTAGGCTTCCCTGAAGAGATGGGTTTTCAGGGTGCACCTAAAGGAGAGGAGAGTAGGTGATAATCTGATGGGTTGGGGCAGGGAGTTCCAGAGGATGGGTGACACCCTGGAGAAGTCCTGGAGGCGGGCATGGGAGGAGGAGACCAGGGAACTAGAGAGAAGGAGGTCTTGTGAGGAGCGAAGTGTGCGTGCTGGACAGTACTTGGATATTAGTCAGTGATGTAGTTCGGGGCAGTATGGTGGATGGCTTTGTACGTCAATGTTAGGATTTTGAATTTGATCCGTTGCGCAATCGGAAGCCAGTGGAGGGATTGGCAGAGGGGGGTGGCGGAAATGGAGCGGTTGGAAAGGTGAATGAGTCTGGCAGCCGTATTCAGGATCGACTGAAGCGGGGATAGCAGCGGCAAGGCAGGCCAGTGAGGAGGGAGTTGCAGTAGTCGAGTCGTGATATGATGAGGGAGTGGATGAGCTGTTTAGTGGTTTCTGGGGTTAGGAATGCACGTATTTTGGCGATGTTGCGGAGGTGGAGTCTGCACGAGTTTGTTAAAGATTGGACTTGGGGCTGGAGGGATAGGTTGGAGTCCAGAATGACACCAAGTACTCTGGCCTGCAGGGCGGGTTTGATATTGGCGTTGTTGGATGTGATGGAGAGTCAATGGGGGGTGGGGTCCGGGCTGGGGGGAAGACAAGAAACTCGGTTTTGGAGAGGTTCAGTTTAAGGAAGTGGAGCGACATCCAATCTGATATGTCGCTCAGTTAGGTGTGTGATTCGGGCAGAGACCGAGGGGGTGAGGAGGGGGGTTGAGAGATAGATTTGTGTGTCATCGGCATATAGGTGGTAGTTGAAGCCGTGAGAGTGTAAGAGTTGGCCAAGGGAGGAGGTGTAGATGGAGAAGAGAAGGGGCCCAAGGACAGAGCCTTGAGGGACCCCAACAGAGAGGGGGGAGTGAGGGGGAGGTGGTAGCATTATAGGTAACGCTGAAAGAGCGTTGTGACAGGTAGGATGAGAGCCAGGAGAGAGCAGAATCTCTGAGGCTGATGGAGTGTAGTTTTTTGAGGAGGAGGGGGTGGTCGACTGTGTCGAAGGCTGCGGAGAGGTCAAGGAGGAGAAAAAGCACTGAATAGTGGCCATTAGCTTTGGCGGTTAGAAGGTCGTTGGAGAGTTTGAGTAAGGCGGTTTTGGTGGAGTGTAGGGGACGGAAGCCAGACTGTAGGGGATCGAGGAGGTGGTTGTCGTTGAGGTGAGAGCATAGGCGGGTGTAGACGAGGCGCTCGAGGAGTTCAGATGTAAAGGGGAGCAGGGAGATGGGTCTGAGGTTGTTCAGGTCATTGGGGTCCAGGGAGGGCTTTTTAAGTATGGGGGTGATGTGTGCATGTTTCAGAGGGGAGGGGAAATTGCCTGAGGAGAGGGAGAGATTGAAGATGTGGGTGAGGGAGCGTAGGATGGAGGGGGAGGGAGGTCGTAGGAGTTGTGAGGGGATAGGGTCGAGGGGGCAGGTGGTGAGGCGGGCATCAGAGAGGATCTTGGAGACTTCCTCGATGGTGTTAAGGTCAAAGGTGCAGAGTGTTGGGGGAGCTTCAGTATGAGGAATGTAGGGTGGGGTGGAAGTGGAGGTCAGAGCAGTGGTGGGGCCGTGGGAGAGGGGTGATGAGGGGGTAGCTGAGTGAGGGGGAAGGGGGTTGGAGGGAGTTTGAGCAGCGACGAAGTCCCTGCGGGTTATGTCGAGGGGGAGGAGGGATGAGGGGGTAGCTGTGTGAGAGGGGACTGGTTGAGAGGGCGTGTGAGTTGCGGCAATGTCCTTGCGAATTGTGTCAATCTTGTTTTTGAAGTGATTGGCAATCTCAAGGGCAGTGAGTGAGGTGCTGGGTGGAGGTGGGGGTGGTGGAGAGAGTTGAGAGGTTGAAGGAGGAGAAGTGTCGGCGAGGATTGGAGGAGAGGGTCTTGATGAGGGTCAGGAAGTAGGCTTGTTTGGCTGCGTGGAGGGGGGAGGTGTAGGTGCGGAAGGCAGATTTGTAGCAGGTGAAGGCTTGTTGGGATTTTGTTTTGCGCCATAGTCGCTCCAGGGCACGACTGTGTCGTTTGAGGATTTTGGTGTGATCAGTCTGCCAGGGCTGGAGAGGTCACTAAATCCGGTCTGATGTTGCGTGTGGTTAAAGGCGCTAGTGAGTCAAGGGCTGTTGACAGCGCGTTGTTGTAGGCAGTCATGGCCAAGTTGGGGCAGGACAGGGGGAGGATGCGGTCATGGAGTTGATCAGCTGCAGAGTGGAGTGGGG